TCAACATATCCTGGTAAATTCAGTTCCTTTCCAATGTTGGCCCACAGCACCTAATTTGGTTGCGGTTTCAGCATCGATTCGGCAGAATGCATGTTATGCAGCAAAAATTGCTCTCAGTCCGTTCCCCAAGCAGATTTCTCAATTGCGAATATGATCATGTTCCATCCCCGGTTTGTTTAGGACATGCAGGAGGGTTACGATTCCTATCGGTGACAAACCGTTGTGTCAATAGCAACACAAAAGTTTTTGAGTAAACAAATCCTCGCAAAGCTGCGAAGATCTTCTATCATTTTGATACATGCCCAAAATAGTGACGTACAATGGTATCTTGAAAGTACACGATTTCATTGCAAAAATATGGTATGAAAGCCTGCTAAACAAACGCTCAAGAAACCAATGACATTTTGGTAGTTGCCATGCGCAGTTTGATGTTATTCCGTGCGTCAAATGACCCGATTAACCTAAGGTGCAAAGGACATGTATGAAGCCATGAAAAATTTCCATTGCTGTGTTCACAGGATTCCCAGATATCGGTGTTTCCTGTTTACTAAAGGACAGTTTGAGCGTTGTGGGTACTTCAATGGGCATTTAAGATTATCGAAACTTTCAGCGTCAATGGCCATACCAAAGCATGGCACGTATTCCGCAGCATAAGAACTTTGGAAATGCATCTGCTCATTCGAGACATTCGGTGTGCAGCTGAAATTTGCAGTGTCTGCTCGAACAAACTCATGTGCTGGATGACAAAAAACATGTACCAGCTATGATGCAAAAGATCCAAAAAATTGACTGACCAATTTGGTCAAAATCTGGGAAAGATTTTTAGTAAGCAACCTTGTTTTTGTGTGCCCATCTATGTTTCCGGACAGGTTGCATCAACTTTCTTTCTGTATTCCAGAATACAGTCTTCAATTACATGATTTTTTTTGATTCCTGTTGCTTTTGGTCCTCCTTTTAAGCTGACTTTGCTAAGAGACAAGATGCAATGGCTGCAAAAATCTTGTTTTTATAGTATCGTGGCAGGCCAAATAGAAAGCTCAGTCCAGAATTGTACAAGAATCCCTGGTGCACAGCTTTTGGCCACGCCGGTCGTACTCAGTTAGGATTCCCTGTCTGTTTTCAAGATTTTCGCTTCTCGTCCTATAATTGTTCAAATGCATAGACCCATAAGTCGATCACATTACATTCTCAAAAGGCGTGGAGTTCATCGTCACGATTTTCTTTTCGTACATTGAAAATTTCAGGACAAACCAATTGTGCATTTGCAATCACGTCTCGCAGAATTTCCAGTCTTGGGCAAAGGTGCTTTCTTTCCGCAAAACAAATTTTGTACTTCAAGTTCATGAGCTTTAGGGACTGGGAATTTTCCAAAGCAATGTCGCAATTGATCCTATTGATGGGCGTTGCCATTCTATGACCCTACGAATGTGCGATCATCTCAGCTGTATTGTATTGTGGCAAAATCTGAGTTTTTTCAGCATCAATCTTGTTGGTGTAATGGGTATTACTGGTTTTATATGTGGAGCAATCAGCCCAAGATGACGTGGTGCAAATTACCAGGTTTGAGTTTATCTGAAAATATCAGGTATGTTCGCATCGGACTTAGAGAATACCTATTGATATTGTGTTTGCAAATGGTGGCAAATCGTAAAACTGGCGAATTTGGGAATACCTGGCAATTGCCAAGGAAAAGCAATGTGACTTCCTGCAAATATCAATGATTTGGGAAAATTCAAATATATAGCTTAGGTCCAATAAGCGCCTGATAGAATCTAAAATATTGTGCTGGAATATGTTGACAAGACAAACAAATGCTTCGACGAAGGCAGAAACATCGATATAATCTACATAACTACATCCAATGGAAATTCCTGATGCCATCCACGCCCCAGTGCAAAATCATCTCGTGACTGGACCACAGAGCACAAACAACAAGATGGACGCAGATCAACACGGATGTGATCTAGCTTGTGATCTGAGCAGCGAACGACCTGGGAACAAGATTGAATGTTTAAATTCTCGTTTGGTACAAAATAATTTTCAAGCCCGCTTCCCATGTGACTTATTTCAGGAGGAGAACACAATTCCCTAAAACTGAAAGCCTGTGAAATGGCCAAAGTATTTGAATTCAAAGTGTCTCTGTTGTCCTCGAAGACCAGATGGTTTCTATTTGATTCGCAATTTCCCTTGGAGTCACTTCATTCTTCAATTGCAACTCTTCATGGATGACCGGAAGCCTCGCAGCAGTGAGCCATCGCCGTTCTTGTTGCCAATTACATACCTATGATACAAATACATACATATGACCAAACCACAAGATGGCATCAAATCAACTTATTCCATTACAGGCAGATGCAAAAGAAAGTAAGACCTATTTGTGGTGAAACTTGCTTTACGGCAGTGCATGATATGATTTTTCCACAGTTGGGTTTACGATGCATTGCACGGAGCAACTTTGTGTTTAACATGCGATGTGCGCACTCGCAATAAACGCAGGGACATCAAACTCCACCGCCAACATGGAGCAAGAAAATTCAGGCCATTACTTCCTGACACAAAACCAACTGGGGATACATTTTGGTACATCGTAAAGGAAGCCAGTGCAAACATATGAGGAATTTCTCAATCGCAGTTTGATTTTAGATTATAGATTTTGTACTTAAGGATGGGTAATGAGCTGGGGTGGAAAAGCACAAATGTCAAAAGTTTGAACAAGAACGGCGATGGCTCGACCCTGCAAATCACCGCACAACGCGCAGAAAAACTTGAGGGATGTGGGACAGTACATGTTTCCTTGTGGGCGACGGCCAACTAGAAAATAAGGCCTCGACGTGACTTGTGTTGGAGCACAGATTCAGGGATACAGAAGGTCAACGCAATGCGCCTTGGATGGTGAATGAGGCGGTGAGTGTTCGTGAATACTGCAGCAGGGATCGACTTCGGCAGGCGAGTCAAGTCACCAAACTTCGCTTAAAACATGTAGCAACGAAACAAGGCAGCATCTCCTGTGAGATTTGGTGTTTGGTAGAGACGGGTGTGTGTACTGATTTAGCACTGCTCGACAGCATGCATGAGAACTGGCGTTTGCGTGCGGAGTCAGCATAGCATTTTTTAACGAACATGGCAAGAGCCATAGCCTGGACGCACGTTTGCCTCGACGAAAACTCGAACTTTTCAATTTCGATATTATATAAATGAAATTGAAAAGTAAATTTACGGCCGTTGCCATTGTGCTAAGTGCATTAGTTCAACCCCGGAATCTTGAGCCTTGTCCAAGAGTGTAAGTATGGTCATACAGTCCGAAGCGCTGCCGTGTGGAAGTCCAAAGCCCCCATTCCAGAATACTGCGCGAGACTTGGGCTTCGCAGACACGTCTTTGTTCAGGCAAAACACAAGGTTGGCGGCTGCCTCATTGCCATGTTCTGTAGAAAATGATGATGGCAACGATAGCGACTTGGATTCCAATATCTATAGCGTATAGCCATCCCCGCCTGAGCCCTGAAAATGATACCAATGGGAAATACAAGGCACACTGCTTATGTGGAACGAACGTGTGACAAGAATCCATACCCACCCTTGATGCGCCCGGATTCTTTCCAGCCTCCCCACTATTCCGTAGCCAAGCTGTGGCCGGTGCACCAATTTCAGATGTGTGGATACTCCGGATGGAAGCGCAGCTCCAGCGCTACTCAGAAACTCGCCAGCCAGAAGTCGTGGAACACTTTTGTTCGATGAGGACAGCACGCCACGGTGTTGGGCAGTGGATGGTCAATTACTGGCCCGTGTGGCGGTCAATTGACCGTGCTTGAGCTGTGCGCAGATGCGACTAGCCGCCACGTCAGAGAATCAGTCAAAGCTGGCGCACTCTTCCAAGCCTTTGCGGTGCCACACCCGCCCCATGTGCATGAATTTTTGGTGCTTAATTAATGCGCCGCAAGAAAATCGAGACAACAAGGTCTCATCATCAACATCATCATCATTTTTTCCAGAATGAGAACAGGGTCTCTCACTCCTTTACCGAGGGGTCTGCCAGCAGCTCGCGGATGCATCAGCAATCAGATGCAGCCTTGGAACAAGGCCCACATCATCATGTTGGGAATGGGCCAGTGCCTGGTCTCCCTAATGTGACACGACACTTTGGAACAAAGAAAATGGCAGAACCCTCCACTTTGGCATAAGAGTTGACAGTTTGGTAGAGTTTGTTAGTGGTAAACATTAGATTTCAATGAACTGATCATAGACACTGCTTTGCCATCATCAAGAATTCTTACATCTCAGGTATTCTTTTACATATCAAACATCCTTACATATCAACACGAGGGGGGCACTGCTTTGCTCGTGCAAAATAAGAAGCTGACGGCTACATCACTGCCTTGTTTGTAAGAATAAATGCTGCTGCTGCTGGTGATGATGATGGGTCATCATCACGATACATATGCCAGGCGTAAGAAAGGTGATCCACCAACAATGCGACATGTGGGGCTCCAGACGACCAGCTGCGTCACCTTCAATGCCACCCGCTCGGTCTTGGTGACATACGACAGCGCGAGGCAGCGATCGCCAGGGCTATCAAAAGAGAACGAAATCAAAAGGAAGCAAGGCACAGCCGAGGCCAATTTATTCATGGACAGGAACATACAGTCTCGGCTACATGAAAGAGGGACGTGAAGTGCACTTCTGACTTTGAAGAGCCTGCATCAAGAATTGGATGCAGCAGAAGAATTTGCACCATCTGTGTTGCCGGTCACCCGCTCCTCCGAGTTCCAAACAGCCACTCATGACGTCAGCACGCTGTCATCAATTCGACAAGAGGTTCTGCCTTCACGCCAATGGAAGCAGATATTTGGTATTATGGACAAATTCTGTCCAGGGATATCCAGGAAGCCTGCACAAAACCCTGAAGCAGCCTCTTTGCTCCAAACGCTCAAATGTGCTGAAGTGCATGCTGAAGTGTGGCAGCTTGAGAACCACATGTGATGTGAATCGCGATTTCTTGCAAGTCACAACTTTGCGCTGGGATCCTCATTGGATGCCCGCCCTCTCAAGAAGAAGTATGGTGTCCTCCTCACACCGTCCTGTATTCTACCACCCACCAGGCCTCTGTATTCCCCGGCCATGTAAAGCCGACACGCTTCAAAAGTCTCACGAATGACCGGCCGCCCCTGAACAAATTCCTGGCGTGTAATTTCATCAAGATCCATCCACTGGACAGCCTCGATTTCAGATGCCTGTGGCATGAACGTCTCCTGGCCCGGGTGTGCTTTCATACCACACACGAAGAACATGTCGCTCTTGCCAAAAGCCACCCCGTGTGCTTGGCGGATGCAGAGCACCGAATCAAAGGAAGCACAGATGCCCTGGACCAGAAACACAATGGTTGAATGGACCTATAGGAGTTCAGTAGCCAGCAACCTAGTCAATCAAAGTTCTGTATGGGTGAAGAGTTAAAGCAATTATATCATCAGTATATATATCATCAGATATCAATATATTATCAGTACATATCAGATATCAATATATATCAGCTGTGATGTTGACAGCTACCACCACCAGGCGGACGTGTTCCAATGCCTTCTGGCAGAGCTAGTTCTACTCGCTAGGAGCAGTATGCCTAAAACTGAATGGGTGCCCTCCAAGTCTATTCTGCAAGGAACATCCCATTTGATCTTGCAACACCGCTCAAGCCCACTCCCGCACACAGGGCGCAAGCAATCCACCACACCGTTTCCTCCATGACCTCCCTCTCCGCTCCCTCTCCGATGTCTTCGCCTGCATTCACAACTCCAGTGGGCATCTTCCAAACACCCATTCCCTTCAAAGGACCATTCTTTTCCTGAACGGCAAGAACTTGTCCTCGGTCGTTCATGACAAAAGCACCAACCCCCACCTGTGCACCACAGTACTGGTTCAGTGGCCAAATGGCAGCTGCCACCAATGCAACTTGTCTGGTACATTTCATGGGCGTCAAAGAATTCAGATGGAATGGCTACCTCCAATTGAAAAGAGTTTTGAGATCCCTAACATGTCGTCGCTGGCATTTAATTCTGTCAGCATTGCACTGCTGGCATCAAAATTCGGCAGAGCCATGGCAGAAGCAGTTGCTTGGAGACTTGGACCAAAGAAGCCTATTCACCGCACGATGATACTCTCTCATCCCCCTGATGGGTGCGAATTTTGCAGCAAGCTTGCATCCCTAAACATATTTACATGTGACGTAAACTTCCACTGTGCTGCTTTCTTGCCAGGATTGTGCTGTCCTCCTCATTGGAAGTTGGAATTGGGGATCTTGTATGTTGGGATCGCAACGGGGCAAGGGTCATACTCAAGACAGCACTTTTCTGTCTGCTACATTGAGAGAATTCCTCCCACATATTGGGGAGGCACTGAAACACTCTTGAAAATTTTCAGCTAGACATCCAGGGGAACAGGAACATGCAAAATGTACCTTGATTGGTGACTTCTCACGATCAGGATCAATACGATGGTTGCGGGCCAAAAAGGTGCCATCGCACCTGTGCATGACAGGTTGCCACACAAAACAATCCTGACAGTGTTCAAATGATCCCAACAGACAAAGGCCTGGTTGTGACCTGATAATGAAAAGATGTTATGCCTGACAGCAAGCGACTTGACATTTTGTACCTACAGGCATTCAGAAGGCCCTTATGCAGTGTTCATCAAACTAAAGAGTGGAACTCAAGTATGCTTCTGCACACAAATAACCAGCAGAATGCACTCAATGCAAGCAATAAACTATCCAAAAGCCAGCAGTGCATCTTCTTCTCTGTCTGACAAGTGCAGAGCATCCTCTTGTACACCTCGTATTCTGAAGTGAAGTTTTCCTTCCAATGGTTACTCATGCACATCCTGACTGCCTCAGTACAGACACCGTGGCCTTTGCTGTTATGACATTCAGAGCCATATGCACATTGAAGGGACACGAAGAGCACTGAAAGTGCAACAGGCATCAACACCTGGGGATTGCAGGATGTACAGTCAATTGCCACATCAAATCAATGAAGAAGCTGACAGGGGCATACCTGGTGCGAGGCATTGGGTGGGATATTTCCTGGCTCCTTTGGAAGCCATTTCAAGCACATCACAAAGTCCTGCAGTAGACCAATGTGAAAAACCAATCAGAGGCTACAACATCATCAGGATGATCGTTGAGTTGAGAGTTTTGCTGCCAAGCAATTTGCACCTTGCACAAAAGGTTGTGTTTGAATTGGGATTGATGACTGTGACAACCACACCTTTTCTATTTGTTGAGAGAACCAACGATTCAACGATTCAGTCACAAACAGGTTGCAAGTTGAATGCCGTTTTGAGGGAAATGAACGAGACAATCATCTTTGATACTGTAAGAAGCCAGTCTGGGTGTCCCTCAGTGCAGCAGGACAAACATGCTGCACTGGACTGAACAATAAACAAGTCCACTTTGCCAGGGAGGTGGGTTTCAATCAACTGGTGTTGGTCCCCACACAGCACCCAGGCCCCTTGAAGTGCTTGGACATGATCCCCTCTTGTGCTCTTGTCTTGACCTTATCTGTCACCAATCTCCCCTATTGCCATCTCAAATATTCAGGGCATGATCTACAACGTACTTGGGGGACGCTCAAGTTACAAGGACCAACTTCAAGTGATATACATGGCGGCCTGAAAGGGACATCTTCAAATCCAAACACAGCAAGGTCAGAAAATCATTGAGCTGAATGACAAGACCTGAAGAAAGGTCGTAGCTGAGTCAACTGACATCCAGTGAGAATGGCTGGCATTTGGCTCACACCTCTTCTGCGTGATGGAATTTGAAGTTGAATGTGTCCACTGCTGGTCCAATAAATGATGCCTTTTCGATTGGTATCTTCAGCCATATTCCTCTCTTCCTGGTGGCACGCCAAGCCTGCAGTACACAGTTGTCCAATCTCAACAAATATGTGGCACCATCTTCCAAGTATTTGGGTGCAGACGACTGCATCCTGGCATTCTCTTTCCTCCACACTGTTTCGAGTCCTGCCAAATTTTACGCCCAACACTTTGCCGCACCGAGGGCATTCAGGTCTTCAAGATGGCACCTGTGCAATGCGATGTTGTAGGCAACTGCAGGAAGGACACCTAATAGACTACTTGCTGCAGCCGCCATCGCGCCGTCATTTAGTGATCGACGTTTCATAGTCCCTGGTGCTTGGAAAGCTACATCCAGCTTTGGCTTAGTTGCTACTGCACTGGCTGAAAGTGCTGTGTGTGTGATAACTGCACTGGCATCCCCACAATGGGTGCATAGCAGTGTATAGGAAGCCAACAAAGCAAACTTTTGGAGATGAACACAAAGTTTGAAATATAAAGTGTTCTTGTGGAGGAATTTGTGCGGAATAGCACTTCAAAGCTCATATTTTTTTGCTGACAGGCACATGTGCAACAGCAGTTAAATGTAGGAAGTTTGCATCTATGAAACACATACTGTAATATTTATACTCTGCCAACATTTGTGAGCCTGCAGCCTCAGGTTGTCCAAATAGTGGACCACATTGAAGCCATGAGTTGGAAGTTGGCAGAACACTCAATAGCTGCACTCAGGAGCACGTCTTGGCCCTGAAAGGATTTTCACACCTGGCAACTTTTGTTCAAGGTATCAGGAAAGTTTGGGACAGGCAGTGAGATTGTACGCTATGGGGATGGAGGGCATAAGCTTCCTACAAAGGAGTCAACATTTTCAGCTTCAAGTTTTAATATCCATTGCTTTGTTGCCTTTCATTCATTTTGCTTGAGTTCCTTGTGCAGACCAACCAGATCCTGGTTAATTGAATCGTACAAAGGGTAACATGAAAGAATGGACAAAAATAGCCCAACAAGGCAGTTCTTTCGAATGGGCTCTTACGCTGGACATGCGCGGGGACGTGTGTTGTTGATGTCAGAAATTCGACCCAAAGTGCTTCAACAAGCAACAATAAATACAACACTGCAAACGAGTACAACTGTTCCCTTCTGAGCACTGGCTATTCAGGCACTGCTGGATTTCGATAGCTCCCTCACCATCCGTCACCCCCATCCCCTTTGTCCCTCTGGGACTCACTCAGGCAAACAGGCGCCACAATAATCAATCACTTGAGTACCTCCAACGCCGCTTCCATGTGGATCATAAAACTGTCCAGGGTGGATGGGAGACTGTCGGGATCGACGATGATGCCGTGGTACCTGTCCTCACGGCCCACGATGGTGCTGACCTGGGTCGTGTTGGGCGTCTCCATCCCTTCAATGGCAATGTCGGACCAGGCCGATCGCCGCGTTTCAGACCTGCTGACGCGCGGCCCCCCGGCGCTCAGCCCCCGAACCACCAGAGCCGCAGATCTCCGCCCTGGGGGCACGAACTCGTCAGTCAGGCGCGGCCTGCTTGCCTGCCTTCCCCTTTTGCTAATTCGTGGGGACCCGGGGCCACGCTGATTGATCAGCCTCTGCACGGAATGATCCCATCTTCATTCAGGCCCAAGTCCTCCCTCCGACGACGCCGATCCGTTCAAGGAGCGCCGTTCGTGCCGAGCTCTGCCTCTCGAGCTCCCTCGGAGGCTCGCTGATCGTCGTCCACAGCGCGGAAAACGGTATCGCGGCAATGCTCGCTTGGGACGGGGGTGCCCATCGCATGGCACGGCTCTTTCCAGCCAGGAAGACATTCTTCGGCGCCAAGACGCCAAAGGGGACCGATGTTTTGGCCAACTGGATGGTGCCCAGCGCTCTCCCACGCACCTGCCGTCCTGTGCAGCAGCCTGCGCGGCGCGTCGCCGATCTCGGTCGAGCGCAGCAGGTCGAGCGCGGAGCACCTGTTGGAGCGGGACAGGCCACGGACGCAGCAGACCAGGTGGAGGTGGAAGTGCCGAGATCCTTCCAGGTACATACCTTCCCTCCGCTGCTACTACGCGTTACATTACAGCGTTGCGTTGTTCGTCACAATGCAACAAACTGGGAGCGGCTGTGGAAGCACCGCAAGGTTTTGCAACCCTTCCGGATCGGAAAATTTTACCGTTATGCTTTTTGCTCCGCATTTTGTTTCTCAAAGCGTTATTTTTACGTTGCTCCGCAAAAAAATTGGTAAAAGAGCGTTAGGGAAGACACTATGTTAATTTTTGTACGCTCAGCGTCAAATTGACGTTGGGGAGATTGCGTAGTTGCACTAAAATCAAAATATGGTGGGAAGATGCACAAAAGCGCCGCTGATCAGCAGCAAATAGCTCATGAACTCTTGCAAAATCTTCCTCAAGCTTTCCATCATCTGGGAAGTCCTTGGAATGGATCGAACTTTCTGGCTTTTGGGCTGCATTATAGGCTGTCAAGACTTTTGGCACCCCATTTTTTCAAATCACCGCAATAGCTAGCTATTCTATAGATTTTGCTATTTTTCTTGCCTTAAAACTATATTGAAGTTGTGTGGCGTTGTTAGGCCATCTTGATGAGTCATCCTGGCATAAGATAAGAATTGACAATAGGGGGGGGCTCTTTGAGATTAGCGCCAACTTGATGCTAAGCGTACAAAAATGGAAACAGTGTCTGCCCCTTATTTTATTGTTTTGCCCACGAAAAAGGCCAAGCGCTACGTTACCATGCGGAAGGGCTTAAAAACCTATGGTACTGTATTGCGTCAAACCCTTGGGCGCAGTGGCGCAGATGCATATTTTCTTATGCTGCCGTCGAATGGGCAAAGCGACTCTATTCTGAAGAAACAGCGAAAAAGTGACTAGCTAAAAGGCATGGCGGAAAATGTTCTGGCGCGCTAACCCCAGAACTGTGCGAGCAACTGCATGTGTGCTTCCCGGCCATGGCCATGGCCAACGCAGGTCACACAAGCGGACTTGCGGATGCATACGGGGAACTGCCTCTCAGGGCCGTGGACAGCATAGGAAAGGCGCAGAGCCCGGCAGAAGGCCGGTGCAGGGTGGCTCAGGCGACGATTGGCTGCGCAGCACATGAAGCACGTTAAATGCGCATATCAGCAATTACTTTGGCGCACGTCAACAGGTCACCACCCGCGCAGCTCAAGAATTGTACGTGACTTACCCTTATTTGATATTTTAATGACATAAATGCCATTTAACGCGGCAAACTGAGTTAAGATTACATAAGTTTGTTGAGAATCTATGTTGTTCAACGATTTGACAACTCACATAACTGTTAGGGCAGTCAGTAATCTAAATGGTTACATCAAAACCAGTAAGCAAAATTAGTAGATGAATCCAGTCTAAGCTGAGGATAAGTTGGCTCTGTGTTTGGCACATTTATAAATGTTATCTCTGAAGTTCTTGTTTTCAACCAAGCAAGTTGGTGATTTGTCTTCAATTTCATCATTAACCATTCATGTAGCTGCATTTCGTGGATGTCATGATGATAATTGACTTTCCGCCGGGCCGGGCTCCTTGTCCCACCCAGGTCCACACACACACTGGACCAATACATTACACGACATTGTTTGTCCCAATACAACCCGAGGTACCCATAACTTAGTGTGCCCAGTCGCTTCGCTAGTAGTTAAGCCAGTCCCATACAAGACTCAACCCTTGAGTCAGACCCACCACTCCTCATTTCCACGTCCTTAACTCCCACACTTGCCCAAATCAACCGAACATCACCCTAATAGGGGGGGCCGGGCGGGAAGCGAAACAAGATAAGGTGGGGACCGAGGGGTGAGCCTAAGCAGCCTCCCCGCTCGCGCCCGCCAAAGCCCGCCGCTCCCAAGGGCGCCAAAAACCACTGGCCCTCCTTGAACGCGACGGACCAGCCACTGACCCAAGGTACAGGGGGACAGAAACCCCAAGGGGCCGCCAAAACCATTGTACTTTAAGCAGCGCTGTCCCAAGTGGGTCAGCGCGCCCGCCCCTCGTCGCCCTAGGCGGAAACCACTTAACAAGATAGTTAATCCCATTTATTTGCCATGACTCTGGTCCTATTTTAGCAGTTGCTCAACGCAGGGAACTACATTTACTTATCTGCGTTGTTGCCATGTCTGCTGTTTGTGCATTTGCTCAGCATAATGCCAGCCTAGAAGATTGCTCGATGATGCTGTATGAGCTGAAATGGAGAAAGCAGCCTTTTGCCCTTCACACCGCTTTTTGCTGCACCGTTGCAAGCAGAGCTCAGCTCCTGAAAATCCTTCATTGCTGTTCAACACCGCTGAGTGCTGTCTTATTGACAGGGAGCAGAAGAACTGATGATCAGGCTTGGTTTTTACGCCGTAAAAACTGATCATATTTACGTTTTTACGTGTAAAAATATTTTCATTAATGCGTAAAAATACATAAATACAACGTAAAAACTGCCTGATGTACATAAGGACAGTACATATAGATTTACAGAGTCCGGAGAGTGGCAGCCAGACGCCTTGGAAGAGGCAGAAAACGAGTTTTTGCTAAACGCCATTATCGCCCTTGCCACAGGCGAGGTGGACATTGTGCTCATGGTGATGGAGATGGCAGAGGACTGATCATTGTATGCAACTTTGATCGTGTAAACTGCGTGTGCCAGGGAGCCGCAAAAACGTAAAAATAGCCGTAAAAATAGGCCCTTTTGCAAATTTACGTTTTTATGCGTAAAAACGTAAAAGCAAAAACGTAAACGTAAACGTAAAAACCAAGCCTGCTGATGATCGACGGAGAATTTGGAAGGGGGCCCGCGAAAGGCCGCATGGCCGACTGGCCGCCGTTGGCGCTCTCAGCGCAGGTTCGCAGGACAGCGAACGACGCCGCGGGGCCCAATCAAAGAAGCTGTCGAGAAATCGAAGCCGCCCTGGTTTCAGGATTGTGTTAAGCAACTCCGCGGCCGGCCAGAGCAGGTTCCGACCTGGCGCCTGCCAAGGGCGCCCCAAGGCCCGGCGCCAGGAATGGGCAGGCGACGGCGCTGGTTTGGACGGCTGCCGTTGCGAGAGCCCGCCTTCCAAAGTTGCCCGCAAGACGCTGCGAAGGCAGGGCCCGTCCCCAACACGCACATTGCACTGCCGCCAGACCACATACCCAGTCACAGATCCCATCACCCTTCCCAGCCGCCATCAGCCTGGGAAAAGGCCGCGTGTCAAGCCCATCGCTGCGAGGTGGCGCCCCAGCGAGTCGAGACCCCAGTCAGTCATCGTTGTTTGCATTGCAGAGGCAAACACGTCTCGAGCATTCCAGCGAACCCCTGTTCGCCCCAATCGCCAGTCCCCACCAATTGCCGCCACCTGCCTAGTGTAGCCCCAAGTCAAGGCTGCCAGTTCCCGTGAAGAGGCTGACAACATCCCGCAATAGCATTGCCATTTTTGCCCATTTTTGGGCATTTTCACGGCCTATTTGTCAAAAAAATTCTTTGACTATTCTTTGGGATCAAGGGTCCAACACGCATTAGTATACATGAGCCACTATTAATATCCACCGCTCATTTGGGGATCCAATTCACGCCTACTAATACCGGGTAAATACGGTACACGTGATCTATAGACGTTTCCGCTTTCAACAAGCCTGATGCAGATGGTAGTGTATGCCTGGGGACGAGTGGGAGACCTCGGTGCCATTCGATCCCTTCCCCAAAGGGACGGCGAGGACCAGCCGACTTTTAACCAAGCTTGCGCCCAGAGCGACTGGCGTTCTGTTGCTGCAAATTCAACCACCCGTAACCATTACGGTATACCAGTGTTCCTACCTGTAGGAATATGCCTGCCAAAGCACGGAGCAAGGAAGTGCCAGCTCCGTGTTTGCGTTCCTTTGCATTGGGTTTGCAATCGCGGCGATGAGCTGCCTAGGAAAGCAAGGGGCGGTAGCCCTTGCGTCCTCTGGGAGGGGAGAAAACGGATACGAGTTGTGGTGGTGTTGCCTTCCATTTGAACCGCTCATGCCTGGCCGCTCACTTCCGGTGCCGGCCTTGCAACGCTATCAATGTGAACGCCCTGCACCTTTCCCCAAGGCCAGTGAGCACGTGCCCCTCAGGAGTGGACATGAATCGCGTAACGATCACGTTGTGTCCCCTTTGAACTGCGCACGCTAGCGACCATGGCTACCGATCCGCTGCAGCGCCAGTGTTCAGGCGCAACCGCAGAAGGCACATAAGGGACGCCTTTAGACGGTTTCAATAACGTACGCCTTTGGAAACGTTCAGCCTGTTCCTCTGCTCCTGCAACCGGTACAAAGGTGATGCCGAGCTAGAAGAAAACTGGACAACGCCCATTTGACAAGAGCAAGATCATTTTACTCCGGCAAAGGACGAAAGACGTGGTCATGGAGAATCAAGCAGGCAAGGCTTCGGTTCAGTCATAGACCGAAAAGGCCACGGAGAAGTCGCGATGCCGCAAAACGGAAGCGATACACGGGATAGCGATGCGCCTCCATCCGATCGCTCATCGCTGCGCCCCTCAAATGGCGAAATCCGAGGACCGTCCGCCGCGGCAGCTTTGCGCGGGAATTTCGCACCGAATGTCGGAAGTCGAGTCGGAGCGAGTCAGGCTGGCGCACGGCAAACGCGAACTCCTCGTCAGCCCCGCCTACTTACTACCCCCCCCCCCGGGTCTGCCCCCGCCTTGGTTGTGAGCGAACTCCTGCGCACCACAGGCACGGCGACTGCAACGGCAAACAGCCCGCAGTGAAAGCACCCCCCACCTGTCGGAGAGAGTGACAGGCGCCGGCGAAAGTGCAGAGCTTTGGACGCGCCTGTTTGGACGCCTGTTTGAGCGGAGGGCGACAATCGGGGCGCGGGATCTGCGGTCAGGGATGGGCGGCCGGCGAGCGTGGCTGGCGGCCCTCTGCCTGGCCGCCTGCTTGGGCTCGGGGCTCGTGGCTGCTGTCGAAGAAGGTGGGCGGCGCGGCGCGAGTTGGGATGCGGGTTGGGCGCCCCGAACAGCCGGCGCGCCGCTGATGGGCGTGAATCGCATGCGCGGCTCATGGTGGTGATTGGAGGGGCGGGGGCGGGAAGGCAACGGGGGACTCGGGGCGCCCGGCGCTTTTGCTGCAAAGGGGAAATTTGGCACCAGAGAAGTGTGGGGTGTGTGTGGGGGCTTTGATTGCGTCGCTGGGTGTTGTGGCTGGGCGGGCATTTGCGTCGTTCCCGTGTGTGGGCGGGCGATGGCTGCCAATGTTGGCAGGCATGCGCCGATGGCCCTGCCGTGGGGCCATGGCGGGACCTCGTTGAAATTCAGAGGCACTGCGCGACTCGTGGCCTTGCAGAATGGCTTGGACGCGTGTGTGCTGCTTGTTGAAGCTGGCGCGTGCCCTTTGGGCTGACATCTCTTGTGGCTGCGTGTCTTTCAGAGGCAAATTCGGAGAACTGCGGCACGGGCTCCCTCTCCTTTGTACGTGAGCGCTCTCTTCTCGCTCAATTTTGCTGTGTATTTTGGAATTGTGATGAGCTGGCGTGGATGCCATGGGTGCGACTCGAGAATTGTCCCCAACCTCACTACCGCATGTGCTGTTCCTAGCACGCACAAGCTGAAGAATTGAACAATCCAAAGCTTAAGTCAAATGCGGAGCCATGCAGGCGCATATTTCTTGAACGGCATGTGCTTGGTCAGTGTCGATTGTTTGTCTCTAGGAAGGCCACACATGCATGTGGCACCAGAAAGTGTGTCCCTTTGTGTGAGAAGTTTTGCTTGTCATCACACGCATTTTCAATTGATTGATTGTTTTGCTTGGGTGGTTGGTCGTCGATGGTGTTCAAGAGCAAACTACGTCCAGTGCAAATTTGCCTTGTCCACTCGGCCAGGCGCATGCCCAACATCCCGAAAGGTGATAGACACCAGACCAAGCACCACCATTATTACATGCATAGTGAGACCATTTTCCATGGCCGTCAAGGACAGAAGATTGTCTGTTTAGCAGAAATTACATGAATTGATGTTCATCAATTGATGGGCACCTCCTGTGGCCATCCGTCAAGCACAGAGAATCGACAGCAAGGTGCACTGATTTCTCCCTCACACATTTGCTGCCTGTGTTTCAGTTTAGCGCACCTGCTGAACGCAGCCGCTGGCCATGGATGGTGTCGCTGAGGCATCCCATCTTCAATCAACATGTGTGCGGTGGCACGTTGGTGGCTGCAGAGTGGGTCCTTACAGCTGCTCACTGCGTGGACCCTGTGCACGGAAGCACAACAGCAGTGAACAACCCAATTGCATGGATTAATGGGTTGGAGCTGAACAATGCGTCCGATTTTGCAGAGGTGAGTGTTGTCTTTCTTTGTGAAAGTGTGGCAAATGGGCTCGATTGGACATGAGGCACGCTCCAAAGTCATCATGCCCTCAAAGTTGATGCTATTTTTGCCACAGTGCAGAGCACCAATGTCCCATATGCATTGAGTTGTTGCAGACCTTGGATGACAACAGCACAAGCACTGCAGGCCAGTCCCCTTGGAATTTGGCAGATGCTTTCTTTTGTAGCCGATGAACAGGTCGACTTGGAAGCAAGTACGTTGTTTGCGAGAGTGCGCTCTTTTGCATCTTGGGGTTGAGAGCAGCTGTACACAGGCCACATAATGTGCTGTCTTCCACCTTCCGTTTATGAGCAACACCGTCAGACATGTTGATGGTTTTTCACTCGTTTGAGAAGTACATTGGAGTCTCCACTCACGTGCATTGGCAGCTATCCTTCCTGGTGCATGCCCCACAGATGCTGTGTGGCAGCTGGAGGAGGTGTGGGGTTGTAGTTGCCAGGTTACTGGCAACCCACAGGCTGTTGGACCTTTTTATGTAGGAGCAGCACATTCGGAGAGAACTGCAGCAAAGGGATGTTTCTATTGTCCGCAGTGCCCAGCATTTGGGCCAGCAGAAATTGATACAAAACATACAGCATCTCCAAGGCACTGGTCTTCACATCAATGGGAAGTGCACTTTAGAGATTGGAACTTGTCCAGAATTGATTTTTTCTTTTTGGGGGTGTTGTTTCTAAATGTGTTGTGCTGCCATCCAGCATTGTTGTCCCCCCCCCTCTGTCAGAACCGTGGTGCAGCAGCTGTCGATTCTGTGCCAAAATGAGGATGCATGGGTTCGGATTGGGAGCAGGGTCAGATACAATATCGTAGCGTATGAGGGCCTGCACCATAGAGGATGGGATATGAATCCCCTTGGCCACACAGCCCACAAAGATGAATTTTAAAGAAAAATGGCCCACCAATTGGACAATCGCTTTTGCTGTGCATCTTTCCCTTTCAGGAGGAGGCTCACCCTCAGGGGCTGTTGTCTGACAGCTCAACTGAGAGTAGAGATATGCAACAGAGAGTGAACAGAGAGAAGAGAGCTCACCATTCTTCTGTGCTTGTGCAGAGAATCAACGTCACTCAGACTTTACCACACCCCATGTTTCAGAACCTGATGCACGATCCATACGATGTGGCGCTGCTGAAACTCGAACAGCCCTCAAATGTCACTGCAGTCAAGCTTGCACCAATGAATTCGATGCTGGTGGAGGATGACTGGCTGGCCAACATGGGCTGGGCCCGATCGACTGCCCGGGGTCCCTTCGCTTCCAGTATGCAAGAGTTTCTTCTTGACTTCGTCGACCAGGAGGTGTGCGATGCAGAGACAGAACCGTCCACTGGCATGGTCTGTGCGGGAAATGGAATGGCCGATGCCTGCTCTGACAGTGGGACCCCCCTTGTGCGGGTGCTGTGCCCAGGAGCGGACGAGCAGGTGCGGAAAGCACACAATGCTGTGATTGTGTTTGTGTCTGCATCTTGTCGTTGACTGATCCTGTATGGAGACCTGCTTCGGTCTCGGCTTGTGGTTTCCTGCTGTGGCAAATCGTCCAGGCAGGACGGGAACTAGAGCCACCAAGGATCTGAACTCCTGAATCGCAAGATTTTCGTGCCAAATTGCAATCAACATGGTGCTTTGCTAACACAAGCATTTGAGCCCAGCACCTGGTTGGAATGCTGTTGAGAGGCACCTCTCCCTGTTCACCCACGAGACCATGTTTGAGTGGCCAATTTCCGTGTGTGGCAAAACTGAATGAGAACCCCTTTGTAGCCATAACAACTGCGTTGGCCGTTGTTGATGTTGGGGGGTTTCTGCAGTGCCCTTCCCAGTATGCTGATTATTGTGGCCGGAAGGCCTCCATGCATCATGTGCGCGCACAAGTGGGGTGTTCACACTTCATGGCAGCCTTTGGCTGCATCTGCCTTGCGTGGTGCATGTCTGCGGCTCCTGCAGCTGATGTCTCGATGATCTGCATGGCCATTTATCACATTGTACCAATCACATATTTATCGGACAACTATGTGGACCCCACAGCCAAGCCGTGTAGGCTTATGCAGTATGGTTTGGCTTGCAGAGCGCTTCAGAATCACAGGCGATAGTCTCTATTTTCTATGGAGTATTTCGCTTGAAGGTTGAGGCATCCTGTGCAACAGCAGTGACTGCGTGCTGAGTGCCAAAGTGCAACTGACGCTCGTCAGCAGTACACCATGTGTTTTTGAGTGAGGCATGAGTGCTGATGTTGCGCCTTGCCTTCTGCCCCTCAGATCGGCGTGACCCCAAATCCTGCCGGGGAATGTGGCGCGTCAGGAGCGCCAAGCACCTATGCAAGCTTGACCAACCCTGATGTGAGGGAGTTCATTACTGATACACTGAGTGAAGACAAGAGCTGATCTCGGCCGTGCAAGGGGCTCTCATTCAGAGCACAGTGTCTAGTGGACAATCCGCTGCTGCTGGGTTGAAAATTCAGCCTGTGGCAATTTCCCACTCGGGAAGTTAGGACAACAGAACCGTCGGTTTCTGACTTGGACTTGTCCACTTCAATTGCTGGTCGGTTTGCAGTAGTTGTAGCATGCACAACTGGAGTGGCAAGAAATTTGATTGGCGTGTGGGCTTTGTTGTTTGGATGAATTCCTGAGCCCTCAGGGGCTGTCGCGATCACAAAGTTAAACATTTTATTAGAACAGGCAAGCAAGTGCTTTGGCAAAGGGAAACCGTGGGAAGCGTGGGACGAGTTGGCTTCCCTATTTCAGCAATATAGTTTAGCTTAGGGCAGAGATTATTTCATGTAAATTGCTGCGTTGTATTTGAAGGTTGCTTCAATCTGCGTTTGCAGTTGCCAGTCCCACTGCCGAACGACCAATGCAGTGATGGCCAGCAGCCACTGCTGTCGCCCTCTCAATTTCATACTTTGCACCCACGCCTCCCTCCGTCCTCCTTACTTCCTACACCCCTTGCAGTCACCGGCCAGACATCCTCCTGAAGTCCATCGGGGGACACAGATATGTGTCGCTATTGAAGGAGTTGTGAACATTACGTGCATTTCGCACAGTACGGAGTGTATTGCATCTTATTGGCTTTCAGCTGCATCCCTTCCCAATGGCACCCTTCCCAAACTCCGTGGCCAGGACGAAGGCAGCAGCTTCTCGATCTTCCTGACCTGTGAAGGGACTTGAGCATCACTCAAAGGTTTCACAGTGAATACCTACATGCTGACACGTTGCAGATTGTTTAGGTTTGATTTTGTGGGGATATGTCTGGTGGATGGATTTATTGTAAACCGCCGCTGCTCCCGCTGTTTTGATTGACTGACTAATTGCCCTATTGGTTGGTGGTGGCAGTGGTGGGGTGGGGTGGGGTGGGGTGGGGTGGGGTGGGGTGGGGTAGCAGCATAACCTTACACCTGCTCCACACACGCTTTCAGGCGGCTATATTATGTCGCGGCGTTGCATCAAAATGAGCGGTAGCATTCAAATTCCATTTCGCCGTGCAAAGCCCGTTTGTCATGGCTCAATCGCCATGGCACAACCGCTTTCTAAATCCCGAAAAGGACGAGAAGGAGCACAAGACATTCCAGTGCAGCGCCACCCAAGATGGGTCACGTTATGAAAGTGGAGAATGTCGTGTCAAGGACATGGCAAGACCGCTGGTTCTTTTCCACCTCGTTCTCAGCCAATCGTGCAACGTGCCACCAGGTTCTTTTTTAACCCCAGCCACTGTGGTCCTGATAACTCGTCGGTTTGCACCGCTCCTGGCTTCCAATATGCAAGCGCCCTCTGTGCCCACATTTTGTGCCCGCAACAAGTATCCGATCACCCCTTGGTGATCGGCACAACTTGTCTGTGCAAATCGCCATTGCCATGCAGGCACGGGAACGCGCCGTGCAGCAAAAAGCCCCTTCCTGAACATCTTGTTTGTAGCTTCAAATCCAAAGTTAGTCATGCTGTCCCCGCACTCCATGTCCCGGAGGATGGCGAGGTGGTGAGTGTCATTGTCCTCAATGCAGAGAGCTTTGGAGGCAACGGAAAGCATGTTCGAAAATATTCGAGAGCAACTACAAATAAAACGAAATTGTGGCAATATCGGCACAATTTAAAGCGCTCTGGAGCTTGCATGCACTTGCTGAGTTACTCATGCACTCAGCCTGAGTGCATGACTAAATCCGCCAAAGAGGTCTATGTGAAAAAAGTAGGTGAAACAAAGAGGTGAAGTCGACGATCAGCGATTGTTGCGTGACCTGGCGACGTACTTCTTACTGAGGACGATGAGCCGCAGCTTGTTGAAATCTCTGCCCAGGTGTTGACAAAGTCGTGAACGGGGTGATGCTGTTCCCGAAGCCTTTTAGTTACGGAAAAACCCTGTGGGTTCAAGGTACAACCATTTGACCAGTACTTATCGGTTTTGTACAAAAATTTGGCAGGTTGCAATAAATTTGTGGGTAGTTACCTGGTCAAATTTTCAAGGGAAAACAATAAGTGCATGGTACAAATATGGCCTCCCAAACAACTGTTCCATTTAGTTTGATATGAAGTAAATAGCAAAAATAAATAAAAAAGGAAATAAACGAATAAATAAATAAAAAAGTAAATAATTAAAAAATAATAAGTAATTCCTTCGTCCGGAATTAAACGTCCGGATTGTCTGAAAGGTCGCATTCACATCACCAATTTTTGTTTTTTGCTCAAAATCTGACTAGAGAACCCTCTATGAGTCTATTGGTTTGTCCAAATATTTGCAGAAAACGGATAAGTACATTAGATTTGGCAGTACCTTGAACCCACGGGACTCGGGCCTTGAATTCGGTGTTTCTCAAGGTCTCCCCGAAACCCCAAATGGCCCCCCGACGGGGTCGCCTTGCAACTGATGGTGCGTGGCGTAGAGTGAATACTTGTGGCCGCTGCTTTGGCTGCGGGTTTCAGACATGCCCTCGATCTTGGATCGCCACAGCGGTTTTGCTGGGCAGACAAGATGCTCACCTGCGGATTTGGGAGCCAGAATTTGGACGAGTACACTGTTACGGCCTTTTGAACGCGCAGTGCTACCATGGATAGATTGGCTGTAGACGCTAAGAATATCAATGTGTTTTTGCGTAGGAGGTTGTTCAACCACAGGTGGTGGCCTCACCCTGCAAAGACCAGAACAGTGCCAGAAGTTGCTGTTTCGCGCAAAGTTGCATTTTCAGTACCGTTTCGGCCGCTTTGAAGCAAACTGTCGCGAGGCATTTCTCACGCCACCTACGCAGAACGCAAGTGCCGCTAGCGTACAGACTGCCGGGCCCTCCAGGTGTATATTCACAACTTGCATTCAGCGAGATTCATGTCGTTCTTAGTGGGGGTGTTTTTAACACCAAGCGGGCCATTAGTTGGAGTTCCCTAGCGAACGAAGATCTCTGGACGCACGCAGTTGTTTTCTGGTTTGTCTCGGGACACTATAAACCTCCTGGTTAAGGCGGATCCCTGATATGTCGGCGCGTCCCTGTGCAAGATTCCGCGGATCTTCATAAATTTAGTGATGGCCGGAACATACCCGACAGTCATTTCTTGCGTCGTCCAGCGCGATCGACGCTCACCGCAGGGCTAGCTCTCGAGCAGCGTTGGCAACAGCACCCTTTTGCCACCCTGGAGTCCCAGGGAGGGCGCCCCGCTCTTGTCCGGAGTTTCGCGGGGTCCAGGACGCCACGTCTTGGCGTGGTTGCTGAACACCGGTGAGGTTCAAATTCTGGTCCAGAACAGTGAAATTCGATGTCCTGCCAAATCTGTTGTACTCCGCCGCCGTTCGCTGCAGAAATTTGAAGGCATTCAGTGCCCTTCTAGAGGTGCTTCGGTCGTATTTTCAAAAACAAATGGCAAGCGTGTGATATGACTAAGCTCTCAAACAAATCCGGGCATTTGATTCCGCACGGAGGAAGTAAATAAATAAATAAAACCCCTGGTGCCGGGCTCCCTCGCAGCACCCCTCGGTCGGGCCAAGCACGACGTGCGTCGCACGCAGGAGGCAAGAGCAGCGCTGCCCTAAGTCGTTACGCACAAGCGTCACGGAGTTCGAGCGTCCTCCCAAAATACTCAAAAATTCAAAAAAATCGCCGCCCCCGTTCAGTCCCCCACCTGCTCGAGCCACCACCCCCCGCCCACACGCGCACGCCCCCGCCAGCCGCCCGCGCCCCACCCCGCTCGACCCCAGGCCGCCGGAGCCGCTTTCGATGACCGCTCGCCGCCGGCGACGCGCATTCTAACCCAGAACATCCAGCGCAGCGCCGCAGAGACCCGCGGGATCGGCCGTCCGCACAGGCACCCCCCGGGGAGCCCCGGGCCGCAGAGCGGAACATGAACGAAAGCGGGATTGCCTTGGCCAACGGGGTGCTCGAGGTGCGGCGGGCATCGCACCCGGGCGCCCGCGCGTCGCTCCGGCCGCCGGGCGACCCCGCGGGACGATGGAGGGATGCGTGCTGGGGAGGAGGGGGGATATGCCCCGCGGCTGGATTCGATCGAGCCGCGTGGCCGGGTATGATTGAGGGTGCTGAGTCGTCCATGTGCCTGTGCCTGTGCTGCGTGTGTGCCCATCTTCGCGTTCGAAAAGGAGCAATACGGCGACTGCGACAGTCCGAAGGCGCACCGCCTTCCCGCCCTGGGCCTCGAGAGCCACCACGGCTCATTCCAGGTGCGAGGAGATGAGACGCCGGCCGGCCGCTCCGCCGGCCGCATGCAGCGCGCTTGCGGAGGTCCAAAGCCCACCAGCGGCCTCTGGGACCGCGCTGCGCGACTTGCGCCCTGCGTGGGATCGCGTGCTCGCCGTCGGCGCGCTCCGCGCCACGCGGCTGGGCGATTGGCCGGGGGTAGGGGAAGAGTGAGGCGCTGGCCGAGCCGCTCGAGGGGGCTCTGGCCGCGCCTGGTGGCCCATGAGGAGAGCGTCGCCGCGAGTGTGCGGGGCGGGCTGGGGGCCTAGTTGCGTATTTTTGTGGCTGGGCCCCTGTCTTCCCATGCGGGGGATGTGTGTGCGAAGTGCGGGGCCCGGATTGCGAACCTCGCGGCGGCAATCTGGGTGCATCTCCTGGGATCGGATTTCTCCCCTGCCGCAGCTGGATGCCGGGGAACTTCCTCGACCGCGGTCGCGCATGCGCCGGGGCAGGAGGGCGCGACGGTGACGCTTCCTAGGGCCTCCCGGGCCCCTTGCCACCGGATCCGCCGTTCGCGTGATGTTGTAGTTGCACGTCACGCTTCGCTTGCCGTTGGCCGGCGCGGCGGTGGGTCGCGGGCGAGCACCTGTCACAGTGCCCCTCATTTCGGCGCAGCTCCTCTTTGGTGCGATCCAGCCCGGCAGTTGCCACGCAAGGCTCTGGCAGATTGCTCTTTTGGTGGTGGTGCTGGTGTTGTAGTGCCGATCGAGAGCACTGCGTGGGAGCTAACGACGTGGCTTGCTTTTGGGAGTTGCGTTTTGGCACAGGCTGTTCATCCCTGGCGCTAACGCGCATCTGCTACTGTAGAGCGCGGACTCCTTGTGCTCCATTGTGTGAATCCTTTCGTTGCATTTGCCGACAAGCGCGATAGCACAGTCCTCGCACCAAGCAAAGAAGCTCAACGGGCGCCATTTGATGCAGAATTGAATTGGTGCAGCACTGCAGCACCTGGATGAGCTTTCTGATAAGAAGATGCATGTCCATGCAAACCTTGTTGTGGCGATGGCTGGCCCTATGCATCCTTTGACCCCCTTTGAGGACTGCAGTCCCTAGGGAAGTCCTGCGCTGTGGTGCCAAAGGCAACAGAGGTCGGTGGTGGTATTGTCGGATTGTGCAAGGAGTTATCTGCCAGGTCGATGACTCTTGTTGCAATTGCATTGCAGGTGGATGGATTCAACCGGGCACTCCAGCGAGGGAGCACCAGCAGTGGCAAGTTGGCTCGTTTCCTGTCTCTGGGAAAGACCAGCCCGGAGCACCGGAAGAATACAGCAGGAGGCTGGGACAGCAGCGTATCCCTGGATGATATGTTGCTCCACTCTGTGGTGAGTGCAGCCCTCCTTCCCCCTGACCCCTGCCCTCGTCTTTAGTGCAATTGTGCTGCATTGTAGAAAATAATGGCAGCCAGATTTTGATGCTCCAGGCTTTCCTGTTGTATTGCAGAAAGGGCTGTATTGCGGCAACTGGGCTGACGAACTGAACCTGTGTTCTGCACGGAACAATACAGGGTCCAGTCAAGCAGTGCATGTTTTGCTGACCTATGAATCAAATGGGACATTATAGTGTGTATAAGTGGCCCATCCTGCCTGTCAGGGGTGAATGAAACTTCTTGTGTGTGGGCATGTGCCAATTTCCTGATTTGGGCTGCTGAGATGGATTGTATGAGATTTTGTGTAGCTGCATGGTGATACTGAGTTACTGTGTGTGGCTTCAGGACCCCATTCCCACTTCGCTGCTGAAGATGCCAAGTGACCAGGCAACCAAGGCAGTGAAGATGTTCAACAGTCTCTTGAAATTCACAGGGGATGCTCCATGCGAAGTGTCAGATATACAGCAGATGGAGATTGCCCAGAAGCTCCTGCACAATGGCCTCAAACGTGCTGAGATGAAGGACGAGCTGTACATGCACCTCCTGAAACAGACACGGGGGAATCCGAACTTTGAATCCAAGCTGAGGGCATGGCAGCTGTTTCATCTTGTGGCATCGACAATGCCACCCTCCAAGGTGCTGTTGAATGCACAGTGATGCACAGTTTGGTGTTGTGCATGCGACCACACATATCAGTTTGGTCCCATGGTTTGTGCAATACACACAATTTTCGTCACATATTGCTGCTATGCACAGTCCAAATTTCACTTGACCACTGATCTTGGTTCTTAGCACTGTGCACTGGTGCAAGAGTCCCTATTGCAGGCTCAAGTGCTGCAGTCTCAGGTGTTTGCTGCTGTCCACATTGTGCTGCAGTATCTAACAGCATTGCTGGCATACTCTCAGTTTGTATCCTC